TTATCATATACTGTGTGTGTGTGTGTGTGTGTGTGTGTGTGTGTGTGTGTGTGTGTATTTCTGCAAAACAGAGCAGAAAGTGAGCAAGGGGAAGAATAGAGAGACTAATGGTTTTATAGAAGGATTCATGGAAAGCAGAGGGGAGTGATAGAAAGATGAAAGGATGGATAGTGAAATGGAGAGGGATACTAGGTGACCAGGGATTAGTCTGTGTCTCCTCGGCTGTTGTAATGAGCTGTCAGGATAATTGGAATGAAAAACACAGACCTCCATTTAATGAAGTGAGACTTTCAAAAAATACAGAATGAGAATGAAAGTGGAAAAGGTTGGGGGCGAGTGGCAGAGGAAGCCAGACAGAGATAATGCAGAGTCAATTTTCTTTGAAAAAAATTGTCTTCAGTACTGTTTTCCATCACACATGACAACGCACCTTTATTGGCATCTGAGTACATTTTGAATGACTGTTCAGCCAATCAGTGTTGGCCTTTATGGGCTCAGCAGTGGTCCTCTGACCAATGTCCAACATTCCATACACTGATTGACAGCTGGAGCCACCACTGCTCTGGGCAAGGCCCTAATCAGGAACATTGAACATGAAAGAATAACAGTGCTCATCCAAAATGGCGGCACAGTATCCTCAGGCGCACTTCTGCGAGAATGAGATACGAGGAGAAACGTCATTATCGCAAGTGCCACCACATCCATCCCTGGAAATAACATGGGCTGTGTGCCTGATTGGCAGCCATATAGTGTTAATGAATAACAATATGATGAGGGGGGGAAAAGGACGCTATCGGCCAAGAGAACGACAGCTGTATGGCATTCTCCTTAATTAAGTTGAAGAGCGGCAGTGAGGGAACGTAGTCACCGAGGAATGAAACCAGAGATGTAGCCGAATTAAGGAGGGGGTGCAAATGAGGGAGTTTGAGGGTTTGGTTGAAGACGAACAAGTAAAAAAGAAGTAAGAGATGTTGGTTGGAAGATAACAAAAAGTTGGAAATAGTGAGAAAGAACCATTTTTAGGTCATTTGTCATAGTCAAGAGAAATTAATCAGCGTCCAGTTAATTAGTACTGCGACCCAGGCCATTAATCCTCAGGCTCAAGACAACCATATGCACTCACACACATGCAACATATATGCACTCATACAGGAGAGCAGCAACCGACAAGCATACTTAGATAATTGTAGGGTAATTTCTCATTCTCTTTATCTGGTTCAACCTTCCTTCCCCCCACTCTCTTACTTTACTTCACAAAAACAACTCGGCTCATCTCTTTGTCTTTCCCAAAAAATACACTACTACGTATCATGTACATTTCTTTCCAGAGAGAAGACGACAGTGCTGGGCTTGAAGGGAAAGAAAAAACAGGATGGGGGAGGTATAGTGCTGACATAAGAAGAGTGCAAAAGAGATTGATGATCTCAGGGCCAGTGGGAGAAAGGGAGAGAAGAGACAGAGGAATACTTACCAATAAATTACTCCTGAGCAGAAAGGGCAGTGTGTGTGTGTGTGTGCATGCATCAATTATGCACTTTTATCTAAGTGTGCATGAACGTGTGGTCTGGGTATGTGTGTGTATGCATGTGTTTTCAAAAGCTGTGTGTGTGGGTGTATGTGTGTGTGTCTCCTGAGAGTACCTCACATTGCAGGTTTTGGTTTTATAAAAAATGTTTGATGAAGTGGCATGTTATTCACTCTTAAATTGCTGATGCACACACACACGCACATTCACACCCACTCCTCCATCTCCCTTCTTGTCAGCCATTATTTTTATCTTTAACGCCAATATGAACTTGTCTCTATCTACCTCTCTACCTACCATTGTGTCTCAGCCATTGATTCTGAAAATGTGTCAAGATCCAAGCTATTGTTCGGCATTGAATGAGACAGTCCCTGCATGGCACTGTTCCATTGGGAATGCATCTGTCACAGACAATGTCTCTGTCTCTCCTGCCATTGTACCACAGAAAATGTGTCAGTGATAGAGAATGTGTTCCTATATATTCCAATTGCCCTGTAGATGAATGTCAATCTGCCAGGTGTAATTCTCTTCAGCCCCATGCTTTAAAGTATGTATTTCCCATTGTAAATGTCTTCTTTAACCCCCTCAGTTGGCATAGAGGGCTGCCAGGGAACATCATTTGTCCTTGTCTTAATCTCTTGTCAGGGGTCGAGGTCGATTCCATTTCACCGACACACAGTAAATTTGGGAAAACAATTAGTAACATTTGTCTTTGGTTTCAAAATGGCATCGGCCTCAATTTCTGATCAGCATGTTTAAAAGAAGTACTTCCTCCATTTCTTTTATTTTACATCTTCTCCTCCTTTACAAAACTTATTAGAAAAGACAAGCAGTCTTTAAGACTACCATCCAATGATTATCAAGCACGAGGCTGAGATAGAGCAGCCAATTGATATGCAGCAATAATAAAGCATGTGTTATGTTTTATAGGAAGTAGTAACTTTGCTATAAAACCCTGCAACGCTTTGGTTGAAATGTCACTGCATGTTCTAGATAATAGCATTTGTGTATGTGTATGTTATCCCATTCCCTGTCTGTCTGTAGATAATGTGTCAGTCACTACCATGGTCCCTCCCACTCCTACCTCCCATCCCGCCACCCCAACCCTCCTAACACCCAGCTTCGCCCCGGACCC